ACGAGCTAAGGTTTTTTTTTTTTCATTTTTTTTTCATTCTTTTATTTGTTTCATTATTTCATAACTTTTTTATTTTATTTATTTTAATTGTTATTTTCATTTTATTGTTTAATATACAACTTTATATATAATTGTTTTGAATAAAATCTTAATGGTTTGATTTAGTAATTTTAAAATTTTTCTTTTTTTTTTAATTCACCTCCTCAAGGCCGAGAAGGCCACTACAGACGAGGAGGCTACTTATTTGTGGTTATAACCCTATCTCAACTCTATAACTCCAAAACACAAACCATGAGGAACAAGTGGAGAAACGAGTTGAGCGCAGTACTACCAGGGACGTGGTGGGGATTGAACTCAGAACCACTCGCTTATTAAGCAAGCTACCACTACACTACTCCATAAATGTTATACAGATGTTTAATGTTTTTTTTTTTTTTTTTTTTTTGCAGTAGTAAATTTATTACTTTTTTTGTCATTAATTTTTACAATATGATAAATTGACCATTTTGTTAATACACTATTAACAGTTTTTAATAAACTAAATTTAGTTACTAGAAATCTTTCTAGATATAGCTTTCATGATTACTTAATTTGAGATCTTGGCATCATCTTTCTAAATGTTTTGTATTCATTTAGTATTTTTATAATTCATTGCTCTTAGTCTATGCGAAAGATTACACTTTTTTTTATCATCTTCGCTTTCAACAAAGCTACTAGCAACCATTATTAGAGTTAAAAGGTACTGGAAAAGAAAAGCTGAAGTTTGTAGAGCAAAATAATGATTGACAGAGAACTTAAAAGGTTGCAAATTATTTTAGTCAGGATAGCAAGATTAAGGAAGCAAGTTCCGAAAAACTTATCATTGAGAAAAAAAACTAGACAAATAAGTGTTGTATGGTTCAAACTTTGTCACCTAAAGACAAAGCTGAATTGTTTGCTAAGAACTTTTCATCAATATCATTTCTTGATTCCACTAGTTGCGTTCTACCTGATATAGCCGTCAAATAGGTTGATCAATTGCTTGACATTTCTACCACTCCAGCTTCTGTATCAAAACTGATTTCCTGCTAGACTCTTCTACAGCTTTTGGTTCAGACAGCATACCTGTTGTAGTCTTGCAGAAGTGTTCTAAAAGTATTCAAAAATTCTGGAGAGGGATCTGATTGGTCTAACTATCGTCCCATTCGTCTTCTTCCTATCATAAGCAAGGTTTTTGAATCTTTAGTTAACAAACACTTAATCTCTTATCTTGAATCTAATAACTTACTTTCTGATCATCAATATGGGTTTCGATCTTCTCGTTCTACGGCTGATTTGCTAACAGTAATAACCAATAGGTTTTATCGTGCATTAGATAAAGGTGAAGAGGTTAAGGCCATTGCTCTTGACATTTCTAAAGCTTATGATAAAGTTTGGCATGCTGGTCTTCTCCATAAGCTTTCTTCTTACGGTGTATCTGGTAACATATTTAAAATTATTGAATCCTTCCTTTCCAATTGTAGTATAAAAGTTGTCCTCGATAGACAGCACTCTTCTTCTTATTCTGTAACCTCAGGAGTTTCTCAAGGTTCAATCCTTGGCCCTATACTCTTTTTAATTTACATCAACAATCTTCCAGATATTCTCACATCTAAGGTTGCATTGTTCGCTGATGACACTACCATTAGTTCTTGCATGATAAGAAGCCAACACTCTCTGATTGCTTTGAGGGGCATCTGAGTTTGAAAAGGATCTCACTTCTGCTACAGCATGGGGCTCACAGTGGCTAATTCAGATAAAAGTCAATTTTTTTTCAGCCAATTGTTATTGCAATAATTTAGATCTTTCTATATTTATGAACGGTAATGTACTCAATGAGTCATCTACTCTTTATCTTCTAGGATTAATTCTTACTTGATTTATACTCCTAATTCATATAATTTTTGATATTTTAGTCGTCTGTCAATCGTTATCTTGCTCTACTAACTCCATCTTTTCTCATCCAGTAACTTTCAACTCTAATAGTGATTGCTTTCAGCCTTGTTGGAAGCAAAGATGTAAAAAAAAATCAGATCTAAAGACTCCAGTAGACATATGTTTGGCTCGGGGGTATGCATACTTATCAATTCACTTGTTTGCATGAAATTAGGCTTGAATCCTTTAACTATTCTTTATGTGCTTCTGCCTAGCACCTCTTCCCTCTATCACTTTTCTTTTTGTTCTTTATTGTTCTCCTTTTTTCCAAGACTTCATTTTTTTAGATGTGATTTCTGATCAAATTGACCATGCTCTCTCTCTTTACCCCTCTGCCAATACTGTTTTTATTGGTGACTTTAATGCTCATCACACTAGATGGCATCACACTATTGGATCTTTAATGCTCATCACATAGCTCTAACACCACTGATTCTGCTGGTACTAAAACTTATAACTTCTGTATTTCTCAATTTCTTACTGAGGTAGTTAATTTTGTGATTCGTTTTCCTGACAATCCTAATCATTTACCTTCACTCCTTGATTTATGTCTGGTCTCTAATTGTAGCTTGTGTTCAGTTTCTCCTTTTTCTTTCTTAGGTGGTTCTGACCATGCAATGATCTCTGATCATACTTACCCTATCATCGCACTACTTACTACTTCCTTAATGCTGATTGGGATTCTTTTGGTGATTTTCTTCATAACGGTCCTTAAGCTGATGTCTTTTCTCTTTCAGCTGATAAATGCGCCTTCTATGTAACCTCCTGGATGAAAGCTTTTATTCCTTCTTGATGCTTCTAAGTCAAGCCTCATTCTACTCCATGGTTTTCACCTTCTTGTGCAGCTGCTATATCTTATCATAATCAAATTAAAACTTTTTTTGAGAACAAATGGTTATTTATTATTGCAAGAAATCAATATAAAGGTGCTATCTGATAATAAGCTCCATTATTCTCAGTTCACTAAATCTTGCGTCTTATCTTAGAAATTAGAAAATCTTTAATAGCGTCATTAACAAGAGTAGATCTAGTATTCTATCTCTTATCCATGGGACTGATCTTATTACCTCTCCCAAGGATAAGGCAGAACTATTTGCAAAGATCTTTTCTTCTAATGCCACTCTTGAATCTTATGGCCAATTTCATCCTTCCATTTCAATTAAACAGGTTAACCTATTGTTAGACATTTAAATCACTCTAGCTTCTGTTGCTAAAGTCATATCTCGATCAAACTCTTCTATTGCTTGTGGTCCAGACAGCATTCCTGTTATTGTTTTACAAAATTGTTCTCCAAAACTCTCTTTAATTTGCTCTGAATTATTTAATAAATGTTTATAATTATTTAAAAATTAGTAATTATTTAAAAAGTTTTCCTGCCTGCTGAAAAATGACATCTGCTATTCATCTAAAATTCAAAAACTTAGATGAACATTCTGACCCCTCCAATTATCGTCAGATCAGTCTACTTTTTGTTTTTAGCAAAGACTTTGAGTCTTTGATCAACAAGTTTCTCACATTCCATTTTTAGTCAAACAACTTACTGTCAGACAATTAATACAGTTTTTGATCCTCTCACTCTACAGCTGACTTGCTAACTACTGTGACTGAAAGACTTTATTTTGTTTATCTAAAGTAGTTCTTTTTCTTGATGACTCAATCTTATACTCCTGTCTTGACAAAAAGTCTTCAATCGCATAAAATAGACAGCTGATTTTAAATCTGATCTCATTTCTGTTACAGATTGGGGCTCGCAGTGGCTTGTAAATTTTGACTCAACAAAACTCAGTTATTTACCACAAACAACTATTGCAATATGGTTGACATTCCTATGTTAATGAATGGCAACCCTCTTACTTAATCCTCTTCTTTATGTCTTTTTGGATTATCGTTGACTGCTGACCTTTCATGGAAACCATATACACAATCTATTGCTAAATTAGCATCCACTAAGGTTGCTTCTTTTTGTCCTACTTGCTATATTTTTACTTCTGATTCCATACTCTACCTCTGTAAACCTCTAATTTGTCTCTGTATGCAATACTGTTGTCATTTTTGGACTGGTTCTATTGATATTCTATTTCTTCTAGACAAGGTTTGAAAATGCAATTGGAACCGATCTATCTGCAAAGCTTGATCATCCTTCCCATCATCATAAAGTTGCTTTTTTTTCTCTTTTTTACAAATACTATGACGGTCACTGCTCAAAGGAGTTATCATCTCTAGTTCCATCAGCCAAAGCTCATTTACGTTTGACTTGTCACTCAGCTAAATCTCATTTATTTACTGTAACGTATCTGCATGCTCTAAAAACTTTTTTTAGAGTCTAGTTTTTTTCTTGCATACCAATCCTTGTGAACTCGCTCCCATCCTCATGTTTTCCTGACTTGTACAATCTACAATTTTTCAAATCTTCAGTCAACCGTTTCTTTGCTCCATAACTTTTTTTTTTTTTTCCTAGTAAACCCAACTTAATATTGGTTGCTTGCAGCCTTTTTTAAAAATATTTTTTTAAAGTATTTTAAAATAAAAAAATTAAAACTCTTTCATTGAAATAAATTATAAATTCAATAACAAGGTAAATAATTTGTTGTCAAGTAGTATAGAATTTTTTTTATAAAAATCTTTAATTGTTTTCATTTATTAAATTTTTATTTGTTTTTATTTATTAAATTATTCTCTGCCCACATTTCAATAGTCAGATAATGTATAAGATCTTAGTTCAAATAAATCACAAAGTTACTAGAAAATTTGATACTGAAAATGTCCAATGATTTTGTAATATAGTCAGACAATCTGTTATAGTCAGAGGATGACTAGTATTCAACTATTAAAATCTTCATCCTTGACTTCATTTATTGTATGAATGAAATGACTCTGTTAATTTTTTTTATTTATTAAAATTATATATAAATTATTTAAATTTATAAATATTATTGTGCAATGATTATAGTATCAATGGTAAACTTATATGGCAAGAAATTAATATATAATTAATATATAACCACACAATGACAAGGTTTATAATTTTTTTTGTTTTGTTTTTTTAGCCACTCCATTAGATGTTGTGAAAGTTCGTCTGCAAGCTCAGTTAAAAACAGAAAGTATGAAACCATCATTTTATTATTATTAATTTTTATTTTTTATATCTCCCATTTTACTTTATTGATATTTTATACATTTTCTTAATGAAATCTTAACTTTATTTTTTTTTTGCATAAAGGTGTTAGATGCTCTGTTTTCAAAGAACTAGTTTCTGTTTGTTATTGTGCAAATCCACCATTGTTTAATAGTCCAGTACTTTGTACTATACATGGAAACATTCATACAGTTCCTCGCTTTTCATCAACAATGGTAATGTTTTTAAAAGATAAGAATTTTTACATTTTTTTATAAGTTAACAAAAATATCTTTTAACTTATACTTACTAATGAATTCATGCGGGGTGTTAGGGTCTAGGGTCAGGGTATTAGCCAGGATGAAATTCATTTCAAGGTTTCTCTGTTGTTTTAACAATATATTAAGCGTTAAGCTTTAAGATTCAATTAATTTTTTTAATAATTTAGTTATCTGCTATTTTTACTTAAGTACTGTTTCAATACGTTTTGGCATACATTCAAGAGTTTTAAAGTATTGCTGAGACATGTCCTGAATCCAAAAATCCAAATACCTAATAATTCTGTCATCAGTTCTGTTGTGTGCTCAAGAAATCTTCAGTTATACTTCCTTCTAAGCATTTTCCTTTGGATTTAGATTTAGGCTGTTGCTAGGCCCTTCCATCACATTAATTCCTTTGCTCAAGAACCTGCCATTTGATTGTTTTAATGTATGAAAATGTGCTTAAAAAATATCTTGCTTAAAAAAAAGTTGATGAGTTTTAAAAGGGTCTAGCAGTTTTTGTTCTAAACACCTTACATAGCATTCAGAATTGATTGTTACTTTTTTAGGAAGAAAGTACCGCATTCCTCTGGTTTAAATTTAATGAAAGGTGATAATTCATCAAATTTCAATAAATTTAAAGTTAAGCACATGTTAAAGAGTTACCTGTAACCTGAGTTTAAAATTTTTTTTGTTTATTTTGCAATGTTTGTTGATGCTTCTAACAACAATGTCTTATCAACCTCAACTGCGTTTGTTCATGCTTCAATCAATTCTGGTTACTCAAACATTAGATTTTCAAACAAAAGTGAATTGAGGCAAACAGAAAAATAATTTTTTTAAAAAAGTCAATTCACTCTAAATGAGGCTGCAAGTAACTATTAACGAAAAGTAAAGTTTAAAAGCAACAAACTGCTTGACAGAAGTTTTAAAAAGCAGAAAACTTTCTTATTTAGAAAAACATGCAGGTGAGTACAAATTTCAAAGTGTTTGTGTGAGGAAAAAACTAAATAAATAGAAGTTTTTAGAGCATTAAAAAAAACAGTAAAAGGATGCAACTTTACTAAATAACAAGTCATGCAGAATTGAGTTTAGTTTGATGGAACAAGAGATGATAGCTTATTTGACCAGTGACCATAGGATTTGTAGAAAAGAGATATGCAACCTTACAATGAGGGAACTCAAGTTTAGCAGCCTAAGTAGATCCAACATTTACAATCCCTTTTTAAATGCTGTCTAAATAAGAGAGGGCCTCATTAGATGAACCAATTCAAATCTTCATACAAAGATAAAAGAGAATTATACTCTCTTTTATCTTAAAATCTTGAGAGACTTACGAACATGGTCTTATTAAGAAACTTATGAACCTGGAGATTCTGAGAGACTTATGAACCTAGAGTTCCTGAGAGACTAGTGTGGAGTTCTTGTATTTAAACAGAGATGTGAAGTCACAAAAAAGACAATTAGAAATGCTCTTTATTTTTGGTCTTCAATTTTAAGAGCTTCAAAACAGTTAAAAGTTTCTTTTAATCGTTTTGAACATTAAAGACCAGAAATAAAGAGCATTTTTAAACGACTTAATTGTGACTTTCCATCTCTGTTTAAATCTTGTATAACAAACAATATTTTGCCATTAAAAAGCTTTCTTTTTACTTGACATAGGATGCGTTTTTTAAAATTGCCAAATTTGAAGGTTTTGCCACTCTTTGGAAAGGATTATCACCATACTTGTAAGTTTTATTTTTTTATCGGTTTTCTTCTAAGCTTGTATTAAATAACTTGTTATATACGTAATTCACACATGCTTTTTGTAGAGTTCAAATGGTCCCACAAACTGTAATATATTTTACTGCTTATGACCAATTAAAAGTTAAATTTGGTTATGTGGAAGGGAAAGCAAGTGTAGTTGCACCATTATCTGCTGGTGTTACCGCTAGAAGTATGATTTATTTGAATAATTGAAACTTATTTGCTTTAAATCCTTTTTTATTACTGTCATTAGGAAAAATTTTGATTAGTTCAAATTCTTATAGATTTAGAATTTTAATTAAATCTTCAAATTTTTTGAATGGTATTTTTAGTTTACTCAATCTCTTTTTATAACCAAGAAGTCTGAAAAATTCATTATTAGTTTTAAATGGAGAAGTTAAATTTTTTATATTTCAGCTTTTGCAGTGGTTGCAATGTCTCCTATTGAAATGTTAAGAACCAAACTTCAGTCAAAAAAAAATTTAGGTTACAGAGAGCTTGTTAAAAATCTTCAAACTACTATAAATGGTGAAGGTATTTTTTGCTTATGGAAAGGAATTGGACCTACCCTTTTTCGTGACGTGCCTTTTTCAGGTATGTCTTTTAGAGAACGTATTTTTTTCTAAAACTTTGATCTTGAATTCTTCAACCACACTTTACCACTGTTGATTATGTTTAGGTTTTTATTGGCTGTTCTATGAACTTCTAAAGTCAAATAATCCAAGTCCTACACTATTTTCAACATTTTTATCAGGAGCTATCTCTGGAATGGTTTGTTTTTTATTTGAAATTTCAATTATCAAAATTTTTTCAACCATTTGTTATTAAACATTAAAAAAGTAAATTATACTACATGAAAATGTATGTACTGTCTACATTTGTAAAAAAGGTATCCATTTTTTTAAACAAATACTTTTACAGCATCAACAAAATCTCGAATGAAAACAACAAATGTTTAAATGTTAAAAAATTTTTTTAAGGATAAATTAAACAGAACCTAAAATGTTATAATGGGAGACCCCTAGCTTTTCTACTTTTGTCTTTTTTTTTTAAGACTACCATGTGTCTACATGCTGAGAACTGCTCATATGCCCCAAAAAAATTTTAATGAGCCACATCAAGGGATATTTATTGTCTCTAATTTCTGTCTATGCTTGTTTTATTGTCCTTAACACTAGCATCCTTTTATACTTGTTTTATTTTCCTCAACACTAGCATTCCTTTTTTACTTGTTTTATTTTCCTCAACACTAGCATTTCTTTTTTACTAGTTTTATTGTCTTCAACACTAGCATCCCTTTTTTTGCCTCTAAAAAAAGGAATTGTTATAAAAGTAAAGTAACAGAAAATGTTTTGTTTAAAATACTAAAAAACTAATTAAAAAAAAAGGTTAGTAGTCTGTTGTGATCTTCTAAGCCTTTTAGCTTTGGACGGGTATGAATAAATAAAATCTTTTCCTAGAGTTTAATATTTAAAATTTGTCTTATCTATAAAAATTTATCTATAAAATCATGAATCGAGAATTATAGTTATAATTATTAAAATTGGTAAAATATATTTATGAGGCACATTTTTTTGACAATAAAAATAGTTCAATGTTTATGTATGAAGTAATCAAGAAGGATTGGTTGTTACCTCTTTTGTAAGCTCACTTATCTTACCTAACCACACACTTTCTTAATTTTAGAAGATTTCTTCCTCTCTTTTTATCTTTTTATCTTTTTTTTTTCTAATTATTTTTTGCTAAGATACCCCTTATAAATCTTTTATTTATATTTATAAACCATTACATTCAAAGTTTTTTGAAGTTATGTAGAATCCTACCTATAACACATTAGATGTGAAATGTGCAGTGAGCATAATAACTTCTATAAAAAAAAAAAGAATATCTGTGCATGAGCATAAATTCAAATTTTTAAAAGTATTATAGTCACACTATTCGTCGTGTTGGTTTGACCAAGGTTCTAACTTAAATTTTTTATGTTAGGAGAGTTTAGAAAAAAATCTTATAATTTTTTTTAATGTTTAATTAAAATTATTTATATTATTGTTTTTGTTATTTTTTTTATGTGCTCTTTTTTGGGTTGATGTATAAGAATATATTACAAAAAAACAATTATGTAAATATTTTTATTTAGACAAAATGCAAAATTACATTAATGCTAATACATTACAATATGTAATAATAAAATATAAAATTACATACTATTAGTAATATATTTAATCTAATTATATCAAGATATTAGTATAGAGATATTCTTTCCAATAGTTTGCTGCAGGATTGACTACACCTTTTGATGTTGTTAAAACCTATAGACAAATTGAGCTTGGTGAAATCAAAAATGGTTTGTTTGTTTTTAAATTTTTCAATAGTTTTTACTTATATTGTTTTATTTTTACTATTTTGCTTAATTTTATTATTCATATTTTTAGCAAAATTTTTTAATGATTATATTTAAAGTTGACTGCATTGGTCACACCATTAGTGTTTAATTATTATCAAATAAGGTGTTTTATATATATATATATATATATATATATATATATATATATATATATATATATATATATATATATATATATATATATATATATATATGTATATATATATATATATATATATATATATATATATATATATATATATATATATATATATATATATATATATATATATATCAGCGCTCGAAATAACGGCCGATCAACAATCAATGATCGGCTATTTTTAGGGGAATTTCGAAAAATCCAAGGAAAAATAACCTGTTTTTGTGAAAAAATTACATTTGATCGGCAAACTTTGAAAAACTATTTTGAGCGCTGATATATATATATATATATACATATATATATATATATATATATATATATATATATATATATATATATATATATATATATATATATATATATATATATATATATATATATATATATATATATATATATATATATATATGTATATATATATATATATATATATATATATGTATATATATATATATATATATGTATATATATATATATAGAGTTGCAAAAAAACACGTTTTTTTCCTTTAGCGTTTTTTTGGGTAAAAAAAACGTGTTTTTTTGGTGTTGTATTGCTTTTTTTTTAACAATTTTTTTAGTTTTTTTTTTGACATAAAATTTGGAATAGTTTTTCTTTACAATTATAATTACAAGTATAGTTTTAGTATTTGGTCATTAAAATATATGAAAAATTAAAATATATAAAATATATTAAAAAATGTATAAACATTAATTTAACATAAATTTTTTATAAAAAATTTAAATTAGGTTTAAATTAGTTATATATCTAGGCATGCTGTATAAAAATGTTTATTTTTTGTTTTTGTTGTACTAACAACTGTGATACTATCATTATATATAAAAACTATTCTTATTCTATAAAAAAGTTACCATTTTAATTTTGATAATGTAAATATATTAATGTATAATACCAAGCAAATTTAATATCAGACTTCGAATGCTCAAAAAAATAAGCAATCTATCAAGATTATTAACTTAATTAGGCATTTGTATATTATGTAGTAATTAAGTTTTACATTGTTTGTTTGTTATATCAAAAAAATATTGCTAGTATGCCCATATTTAAAAAAAGCCCTATACTGAATTTAATTTCAAGGAAAATTTAAAAATTTTCTAGTTATTATTATTTATGGAGTTTCCCAGACCCCATTCACCTGATGATTCGTAATTTATTTATTTGTAATTAATTTTTTAACAGCATTTTTTTTCTTCTAATTACATTATTTATTCATCTAGATGTATGTATGTATATACAGATATTATGGTGCTTTAAAAATCACTACTCAGTGTTGTTAATGTGGTGTGGTTATTTTTTGTATTAATCTATTTTTAGATTCTAATTCAGAAAAGATTTATATAAAATTTCTCTTTATTTGAGTAATAAGTTGACTTTTTAATAAAATATTTTAGGGACCATTTAAACAATATTAGGGACCTGTTGAATAATAACCTGTTATTATAATCATCGTCAAGGCCTATTTATTTATTTCTAGTAACTTCTGGGGTATCTCAAGGTTCTATTCTTGGTCCTGTTTTGTTTCTTATCTACATTATTGATCTTCCCGACAACCCTACATCTATAGTAGCTCTTTTTGCTAATGACTCAAGTTTTTACTCCTGTCTTGACAAAAAATCTTCTCTTTTTAATCGCTTAGAACAGGCAGCCAATTTTGTATCTGTTGATACAAAATTGGCTGCCTGTTCTAAGCGATCAAAAAGAGAAGACTTCTAAAATATGTGAGCCCCAATCTGTTCACAGATTGGGGCTCACATATTTTAGCTTATAAATTTTTATTTCCAACAAAACTCAGTTATTTATTGCAAACAACTACCACAATACTGTTGACATTCCTATATTAATTAATGGTAACCCTCTTACTGAGTCCTCTTTTTTACATCTTCTTTTTTACATCCTCTTTTTTACATCTTCTATTTGCTACTAACCTTTCTTGTAAACAAAATATACAATCGATTGCTAAATTAGCATCCCTTTATCATTATCTTTGTTTTCTTACCCTTGATTCCATTCTCTACCTCTACAAATATCTTTTTGTCCTTGTATGGAATGTTGTTGTCACATTTGGGCTAGTTCTTCTTATGATGCCCTTTTTCTTCTAAACAAGCTCTGTCTGCTAAGCTTGAATAAATGTAAATAAATAATGTTTATTGTGTCAATATACACTAAAAACAGTAAAGACAAAATTGAGGAAGATAAAATTATCAAAAAGGTTTTTATACAGGACTGCTTCAACCGTGTTAATATACCAAAACAAAAATTAATTCAGTAAATTTCAGTATATATATATATATATATATATATATATATATATATATATATATATATATATATATATATATATATATATATATATATATATATATATATATATATATATATATATATATATATACTGAAATTTACTGAATTAATTTTTGTGTGCTCAAATTTTCAATGATTTCTACAAATAAAAATGTGAAAATTGTAATGCCTTATTGTGTTTTTACTATTTTTACTGGTAACAGTACAGGCATCAAAGCAAAAGCTTGCTACTGTAACTTTAGCAGATAAACACAAGGTACTAAAAATTGCTGAAGTTTAAACTAGCCTCAGTAAATGTGTAGTTGTTATAAATACAGTTTGCATCGGTTAAAGAAAAAACTGAAATGTCTTAAGCAGTTCGAAAAATGTCTTGAAAAATAGAAAATAATTCAAGATTGCAGTATGCAAGCAGTTCAGTTTAGTTATGTATAAATGGTTAAAAATTGCATAAAAATAAAGATTAAAAAAATCAGATAAAAAAATCAGATATTTTTAAATCTCTATATTTTAAAAAATCATTAAAAATACAAAATTTTCCGATAGAAAAAATGCTTTTGTGTTAAAATAGTTATATGTTTGTTATTATATATAATATGAATATATATTTAAAGGGACCACCAAGTCCCGAGACATGTTGTGTTCATATTAAAGAGAATGTTAAAAAAAAACGTCTGAGCAAATTTTTTTGATTGAAACTAATTAATAAATGTATACCAAGAAAAACAAATCTTGTTGTTTTAGTCGAAGCTTGTCTTCTCCATTTTCTGCAGTATTTGGAGTCTTTAAAATAAACGCGATTTTCCGGGCGCATTTTACAGACTTGATAATTTATTCAAGTGCATTTAATTCATAGGAGTTTTAGTACATAACATCATAGATTTTTTTGTTTGTTCAAAACACCGATTATTATTTTTTACATACTATTTCCAAATCATATTCATTTTTATTATATTTTGAAGTTCTAAAATGTGTTACTAAAAAAATTAAAAACATTTTATTTATTATTTTATTTGCGCAACTTTTTGAAATAATCGTCTAGACCATATGTATTTTGATTTCTTTTGTTATAAGTTTTTCTTTCAAAATATTAGATAAAATAATTTTCAACCTAAAATAATAATGTACTTTTTTTAATTTACTTTGTAAATATTAAAAAAAATATATTAACACATTTTTTCTCTGATTTTCAAAAATGTATTTTTTAGTATTGAAGTGATCTTATTTTATTATTTATATTTCCATTATTATAACATCCAATATATATTATGGCGGGGGCTTAAAAGTTAAAAAACTAATATATATTAATTTTTGTTTTACGGACATACATGGAAACATAATTAACTTGAATGTTATTAAAACATCTTGCGGAAGAATAAAAAGAATATTCGCAAATGCTAAAAACCCACCAAATTTACAAACAAACTTATTCTATTGGTTCAAAAATATGCTGACTAAGCAAAATAAAGTTCTAGAGTATTCTGTTCAAATGTTTTAGCAATTGTATTATTCACAATTTGTTGCGTTTTAAGATATCTAGCATAAATTGTTTTAAGAATATATTATCAAATGAACTATTACTTTAATATATATATATTTTTTTTCTTAATTTTATTTCACCTTCTCAAGGCCAAGAAGGCCACTACAGACGAGGAGGCTACTTATTTGTGGTTATAACCCTCTCTCAACTCTATAACTCCGAAACACGAACCTTGACGAACAAGGCTGCTGCGCGGAGAAACAAGTTGAGTGCGGTACTACCAGGGACGTGGTGGGGATCAAACTCGGAACCACTTGTTTACGAAGCGAGCGCTCTACCACTACACTACTACCGCATTATATCATGACTCATTCTCAAAGCCACATCTGCAAAGCCATAAATCTTTTAAACTATTATCATTTGTTTACAAAAATAAATGTTTTATAATATAAATTTTTTAAATTGTCAAAATTTTGAAAGTTAATTACAAATTATATATTTTATTAGTATATTCTTATTTTTTTTATCTCTTCCTAGTGCTTGGTTTAATTAATTGTTCGTTAGATTTGTTGAAACAACTTGCATCAAAATGTAAAGAACACACTCGTGAATCATCGGAGATATATAACCTGATTTGGCGCCATAGGGGTCCCTAGGTCCACCATCGCTGTGGCCCATGTAGCCACAGCTCTGATAGCTACAAAAAAACATAAAATGTTTTTCAATGTGAAGATTTTAGAAAATAAAATAACTAACTATAGTTAGCTATTTTAGTAAAATTTAATAGTAAAATTTCTAAAGAATTTCTAGAATGTTTCCAATGACATCACGTACTAAAACTCCTATGAATTAAATGCACTTGAATAAATTATCAAGTCTGTATAATGCGCCTGGAAAATCGAGTTTATTTTAAAGACTCCAAATACCGCAAAAAATGGAGAAGAAAAGCTTTGACTAAAACAACAAGATTTGTTTTTCTTGGTATTAATTTGATGGTGATG